CCGCCCCCCGCCTGTGTGTGCTTATATGTGCAGTTTGTTGGGGGTGGGGGGCAGCTGCAGCCCAGCAAGGGGTGACCTCAGTTTGAGGTGTGGCTGGAATCCAGGTCCTTTCGCTTTTTTTCCAAAATACCACTGGATTTTCAAAATTGTCTATGTGTCTCAGACTATTACTGTTAAAAACATCAAGACCTCACTATAGAAAAGCAATGACCAAAATATCATTACTATTATTATTTTAAAAATTATAAACACGAAGAAAGGGGAGGTAATTGGTAAAGCCACTTACCTAAAACTAATAGAAGGAAAACAAACTTAATAGCAAGCGGGCATGGTTAATTATTAACATTATTAATAAATGTAGAACCTGGTATGATGCTTTGCAGCATTAGGTACTCAATACATGTTAAGGGAAATGGCAACTGAACCGCCAGAATAATAGAGGCAGTTTATTTCTTTATATTGTACCAGGCACAGTGCTAGGGACTTTACACCATTATTTCATTCAGTCTTCCCAACAACCCTGTAAGGGAGGTACTGCTGTCCCTGATTTTTAAAAAAAATATATTTTATTGATTTTTCACAGAGAGGAAGGGAGAGGGATAGAGAGATAGAAACATCAATGAGAGAGAAACATCCATCAGCTGCTTCCTGCACACCTCCTACTGGGGATGTGCCCGCAACCAAGGTATATGCCCTTGACCAGAATCGAACCTGGGACCTTTCAGTCCGCAGGCCTACGCTCTATCCACTGAGCCAAACCAGTTAGGGCTGTCCCTGATTTTATAGACAAGGAATCAGAGGCTCAGAGAGGGGTGCCTTGCCCAAGTTCATACAGGGGGTGGGAGTAGGGTTGAGAATCAAAGCAGTTTGTTAACTCCTGGTCCCAGGACCTAAGCACCAGATCCCGGGCCCTCAAGGCTGGGTGGGAGTAGGGTTGAGAATCAAAGCAGTTTGTTAATTCCTGGTCCCAGGACCTAAGCACATGATCCTGGGACCATCATGTCCATTGTTATGACCAGTGCCATGGTGCATGAGGCCCCGTGGCACTGCCCACCTGCCCACCTGCCCATCTCCTCCCTCCCCTGCAGTGTGCGCTCCTCGAACCACCGGCAGGTGAACAGTCTGATGCGGACAGAGGAGTGCCCGCCCATCCTGGAGGGCACGCAGCAGCAGGTGGCAGGCCAGGCCTTTGACAATGAGCAGGACGGCGTCACCTACAGCTACTCCTTCTTCCACTTCTGCCTGGTGCTCGCCTCCCTGCACATCATGATGACACTCACCAATTGGTACAGGTGCGTGCAGCCTGGCCGGGCATGGACAGAGCCCTCGGAGCCTGGCCACACATCTCCCCTCCTCAGGCCCCTCACTGAGGTTTAGGAAAACCTGCTCAAGACTCGGGCATGGAGGCATCTCTCCAGGACCCTCCATGGAGCCTGCCCCATCCGTGACCCAGTTTCCCTGCCAGTGCCTTAGGCTGCTCAGCCCCTGGCACCTCCACTGAAAAGTGGAGATCACAGGAGGTGGGGCTGGGCCTGTGCAAGGAAGACTGGGCTTACGGATCGGGTGTGGTAATTTGGATTATGGGGTCAGATCTAGGACTCATGGTTGCAGGGTTAGGATTAGGGTGTAGATGTCAGAATCGAAGTCACAGGGTTAAGAATAGGAGTAATTTAGGAGTAATGAATGAAGTCAAGCGTTGGGATTGGGGCCATATAAAGTCACAGATTTGGTCATTTGATTAAAATTTGGGTTAGGGGGCCAGAAAGACAAGTCAAGGAGCTAAGATAAGAGTAACAAGGTCAGGGGCCAGGACTGTGGTCACAGGGCCCAGGTTCAGAATTGAAGTCAGATATCAAAACTGTGGTCATAAAATCAGGGGCGGGGGGTTATAGGATTGAGGGTCAGAGTCAAGGTTAGAGGTCAGGACTAAGGCCTGGAGCTCCAGGAGTCAGGTCACTGTATTAGTCTAGGACTGAGGTCAAGATTGGAATGGAGGTCAGGATCAGGTCTGTGGTCCAAGGTCAAGAGCTGTGTCTGGAGACTTAAGACCAAGTGTCAACAATACCAGAGACGGGGACTAGAGTTACAGAATAAGAGTCGAAGTTGAAGTCAGGAGTCCCAGCTGGGTCATAAGGTCAGGCCAGGACTGAGGTCATAAGACGAGGCCAGGCTCACTGGCATGATGGTGTGTTCCAGACCCGGTGAGACCCGGAAGATGGTCAGCACCTGGACCGCCGTGTGGGTGAAGATCTGTGCCAGCTGGGCCGGGCTGCTGCTCTACCTGTGGACCCTGGTGGCCCCCCTCCTCCTGCCCAACCGGGACTTCAGCTGAGACAGCCCCTGCAGCCTGCCACCTGGTGCCAGGCGGACCCTGACCCGCTTTCAGCACTTGCCCCTGAGCTGAGTGCCTTATTCTCAGTGCCTCCAGGGATGAGGAGCTCAGGCTCACATCCGAACCCCTCAGGCTCACACCTCTGCTACCCCAGACCATGGGACTTCCTCTCCATTCCCCCCGTCCCTGATCACCCATACTCACCTTCTTGGGGGAAGAAGGGCCCTTTGTTCCCAGGCTCCCAAGGAGAGGGAGCTGAGGAGAGAAATGCCCAGAGCTGCCCAGAGGGCGGGAGCATGCGCTATGATGGGATGCCCAGCACGGAGGTGTTGGTATTCCTGACCACACCCCCCGGGCGCCCCGTCACCCTCCTCAACTCCGTGCCTTACAGAGTCTCTAAGACTTTGCCCAATAAAGAAGCCAGAGTGTGTGCCTCCCGTGTTCTCTGCCCCCTCACCCTCAGTGCAGTGCCCATCCCATCTGGGATCAGGGTGGGGGCTGGGGATGGAAGGTCAGGGCTGAGGGACCAGACCAAGAAGGGCCAGGTAGAGGGGCCTCGGCTGTGTCCTCTGGGTCACGGGGAGCCTGGGGGTGGGGGCTATAGAGGAAGGAGGGGCTTTGAACAAAGAGACTCTCGGGGTCAGGAAACAGGCCTGGAGCAGTGCCCACATGAGGAGGCGTGGTGAGCCAGAGTCAGGGTGGAGCAGGGGCCGTGGGAGGTGGCTGAGAGGGCTGTCTTCAGGGCCTTACCAGTGTCTGCCCTGAGGTTCTGCCACCTCTAACCTGCCTCCAGGTCATCACCATCTCCCCTTCCTGCCATAGTCTAGGCCAGCGGTTGCCAACTGGTGGTCCGTGAGGTCTGAAAGGTTGGTGACCGCTGGTCTAGACACCTGCTCTGGGCCAGGTGCCGTGGGGAATGAGGAAGAGCATGCTTGGGAGTGGCCGGGGTCCCGCTGAACCTCCAAGGCCATGGGGGATGCCCCTGACCCCTGTGTGGTTCAAGGTCAATTGTACTAATAAGCTCCTTGCTCCAGGCTGTGTGCACAGGAACCATTCAACAAACATTGGCCCCTGTTATCATTTTTCTCCCACCTCCTGTCATTCACACACACACACACACACACACACACACACACACCTGCAGTTGAAAATTCGTATACATAGATTCCCAATCGTGGATTAAAAACATACTCACACACACACACACATACACACACACACACACACCTGCAGTTGAAAATTTGTATACATAGATTCCCAATCGTGGATTAAAAACATACATAGAGAAAGAAAGAAATTTATAAGAGAAAAGAAAGATGGAACCTCTGACTCCTCAGTCTTCTCTGACCCCCAGTCTAAATAAGGGTCCCCATTTTTCTAAGTGAACTATTTCCCCACATAGCCTTTATTACTGTACTAGAGGCCCGGTGCACAAAATTTGTGCAAGGGGGGGGGAGGGAGGAGGTGTCCCTCAGCCTGGCCTGCAACCTCTTGAAATCCGGGACCCCTCAGGGGATGTCCGACTGCCGGTTTAGGCCCAATCCTGCTGTAGATCGGGCCTAAACTGGCAGTCGGACATCCCTCTTGCAATCCAGGACCGCTGGCCCCTAACCACTCGCCTGCCTGCCTGATTGCCCCTAAGCACTCTGTCTGCCTGCCTGATTGCCACTAATTGCCTCTGCCTGATTGCCCCTAAGCACTCTGCCTGATCGCCCCTAACTGCTCACCTGCCTGCCTGATCACCCCTAACCACTTGCTGGGGGGAGGCCAGCCAGGGTGAGGGGCTGTGGTTGTTCTGGTCTCTGGTCATTCTGGTCATTCCACCATTTCAGTTGCCGGGCTTTTATTATCAGATCCATGTGTGTGATCATCACTGTATTGTCTGAGCAACGAAGGCGAGAACTTCCCCGTATTAATAGTATATCATTTCCCCAGGGCTTAGAACAGAGCCCGATACAAAGAGGGTGCTCCCTAAGGGGTGAGTGGAGAGACTGACTGACCACCGGAATGAATATTAGTTGATTCTGGAGCAGTCACGGGAAAGCCCAGGGCTGGAGAGTTTATAGCAGAGGACGAGGGGGAGGAGGCCTGGGCTGGAATCCAGAGGCCCGGGTTCTGTTACTGAATGTGCAGGGTCAGAGGAAAACTGTGAGAATAGGTGGGGCGAGGAGCGTGGGAGAGTGGCGGGGGCAGGGAGCTGCATGGAGAGGCCCTGCAGCAGGAGGACGGGGGGTGACGTGGCAGAGGTGGGAAGGCCCAGGTGTGAATTCAGAGGTCACAGACTAGAGACCCAAAGGCTTGTCTGCTTTGGCCTTCCCTGTGTTTAAAACAAGAACCTCACAAAGATTGTGGTGCCTTGCCATGGAACACATCCTCCATCCACTCCAGTTCCCACGCTCCTCCTCAGCACCCACTTGCTGCTTCATCACTTAAGTGACTCACCTGAGTCACCCAGGAAGACATCTGAGCTTGCAGCCCTGATGTAGGGTCAGGTAGGCTGCGGTCTGAGCACGAAGAGGCCTGAGACCTGCCCACCATCCTCTGAAAGGCCTCAAGGGCTGTGAGCTTGGTCTGCCTCAGCCTTTCTCTGGTCTGTTTCCCAAGGAGTTCCAGGCTGGTGAGTCCTGGCTTGGGAGAGTGGAAGGGCTTGCGGGGGG